GTATAAATTGTACTAAATAATGTTTTTTATGTATTCTTTATATTTTATTACTTATAATAATAGATTATTTACGTTGGATTTACTTAATGCATATTTCATCCGAACATTTAACGAATAATGGCAGCGCATCCATTTAATCCATAAACTGAGTTAGGAATTTAAAATTTGCATGCTCATCCGGAACTAGCCTATCATGTTATTTATGAATTACGAATAAGCTTCTCAACTAAAGTTACCATTTACTTTGGTTCTGAAAGAACTACATTATTTTAAGTTACAACATGTTTCCAAATCATTACATCGAACACTGTATCTTAAATGTACTGAGTTATATGTATCAAGCTCAAGTGGATAGACTAGTGTTTCCTCACATTAAACCTCTGATAATAAATTTGATAAAATGCGCCCATTTGAAATGTTTGTTTCTATAAACTAAGCATATTTCCATTTTCATTGCCAGAATGAGTGTATTTGAAAAATGTAGTAATTTAATTATTGAATTTATGAGTTGATTTAGGCTTCACAACCCTGGAGAACCTGGAAGCACTGGGTGACCGTTTCGTCCTAGTACGGAACTCCTCAGTAAAGTGGACCCCACGATCCCACATACTGTACACAAACCCAGGATTAAAGTTACATATTAACACCGTTGGATGATGGTCTAGAAGATAGGCATCCGCGTGCATACCAGAAGGTTCTTGGCTCGAGCCTCGTGTGAGGGGTCCCACGTGCACCCTATTGACAAGCTCTATACCAGGACGAGATGGCCGTCCAGTGCTTCCAGGTTTGAATCTCGCGAGGCGGAATCGTGGATGCACACTACTGTGGAGTCCCACAGTAGGAAGAAACGGCCGTCCACTGCTTTCAGGTATTCCATGGTGGTGTAGATTCAATTGACTCATGAATCCAACCATCACATTACTATCATGTCCACAAAACCCCTCCCTGATTATAATCATCATACGCTCACTAGTGACCGTCTCCAAGAGGTATTTCCTAGAGTTCTAGTGAGAAGCCGTGAACAGTGGAGTTCAACCTGGTCTGTTGTGAGATAGTAACTCACTTAAGACAATGGTGGACGGTGATGTAATTTTTTGGATTGTTTGAAGTTCGATATTAATACCATTAGATGCCGACTGGTTCAGTGGTCTAGAGGTTAAGCGTTCACATGCGAAACCTATATATTATGTGTTGGAATTTGGCGAGGTGGAATCGTGTATGCACATTAACGAGGAGTTCCTCACTAGAATGAAACGGCCGTCCAGTGCTTCCAAGTATTCCGTGGTGGTCTAGTTTCAATTGACTCACGATCTCATCTATTGAAATTCTCTATTTTAATTTACTAAATTAATGAATATATGTTTTATTTTATTTAAAACACTTTCAATTATGTCTTAAATACTTGGTACATAATTCTCTATAGAAAAGCACAATTGTATTGTAACACATTAATATTCATTAATGAAAAATTAAGATTTCTTAACATCAAAAACAATTAATGAAATAATTAAACTTAATTAAATTATATTTAACCACTGCTAAGACTCATTGTTTTAAAAAATTCTGTTTTGATTAATAATTTATGTATGAAATGAATGTTACTTTATAGTTTTACTGTTAGATAGATAGTGAATCATGATAGATATATAACTAGGTCGATAATATAAATGCCTCGTTTTATTTAGCGTAAAATTGAAGTATTCTAATTTAAATACATTAGATGGATGTTTATTAAGGTAAAATACCTAGTTGTATTTGCTACATGTATCTACTAACGCAACACTTTTCGTTAAGGAAAAATTTCCAAAAAATTAAAAAGTTTTCCATTAAATAACTTTGAAGTGTTATATGTCAATTGTTATGGAAATCTCTTTACTTTTATTAGAATAATCTTATTAGTAGATCAACATTTGTCAGTTAACACTATGAATTACTCTTTAAAAATGAAGAAGACGTAGTAAGGACCAAATAAGTAACATTGAACTTCCTTTTTGTCGTGAATACTTTCAGGTGTTTCTATGTTCATTTATGAAAGAATTAGAACTACTCAATAAACAACATTTTAATTAAGAAGTCTTATTAACAAGGTGTCTTGCGGATATGTTTAAGGCACATAAACTATTGGGAACTAATTAAACATTTAGTTAAAATTCATTAGTATAAGTAACATATATTTTGCTGTACAATCCATGTTAAACTTATTTATTTTAAAGAGAATAATAATTAGGCAAGAATATGCCACTTACTTCTAACTATGAAGTTAAAGATGTTGAATTATGAAAAAAAAACAAAGTGGAATCCTGAAATTCTAACATTTCTTATACTTTGACAGGAATCTATGACGTAATATTGTTCATTCGTTTATGGAAAAGAAGATGGAATCACAAAATGTCAAATATACTACTCGTTTTTAATTTCACTTAAATACAATGTTCTCAAAGTATCTTTAATGAATACTATATTCAACTGTTCGGTTGTTATTGGGTTGTAAATGATTTTCGGATGACTGTGTTATTAACATATTTACTACGATTATTTACTAGCATATCAATGCAGGAAAGGTTTGCATTTTATAATTAAAATCTGTTTCGTTACATATAGAAAAGTGATTGGGAAAAAAAGAGATGAGCTTGAAAAACTTGATCAGAAATCCTATTTTCCACGTTATTTAGAAATTATTTCAATGAATAGTATTTATATTTATTTTTAATTCAAGTAAACAGTTATTCAAAATAATCGATTTTTAATTATTTCTTCATTAAGAACGGCTTATATTAGTAGTATAAGACAGAAATTAAATTCATTTGGTGTTGTTTGCTTTTATCATCCCATTGTTGTTTAGGACTGAAAATTGATCAGTCAGTAGGTAAATCTAGCTGACGTGTCACAAATAGGACGAAACGAGCATCCTTGATTCTACTGCTAGCCACTATTCATCTTTGTTTATAAAGACTAAAATTAGTTTCGTATATTTAAAAGTTTGAATGTTTAAATTAAGTTAAAATGTATGCTACTTATTTAGTTATAAATCTCAAATGAAATTATATTATCATTTTCCAACAGATTTTTTATGACAGTAAATTAAAAATGTTAATTTAAAAATGGCACTTTTCTCTCCAAGTTAATGCATTACATGTGATATGCATACTTACAAACCCTTACACTCAACAACATTTAATTAAAATTATAAAAAATATGCTTCACATTTGTTTATTGCATAACAATAACCCTCCCCTGTTCAGGAGAGAGTGTCCTTATCAGTGATTTCATCTCCAAACCTGTATAACTGCATATATATATAACACTTGTTCCATTGTTATTGACTATCCGAGTAAATATATCTACTGTATATAAAGATTTTATTTATTATTATCGATTTCTTTATGGGTTATTAATAGATCAAAATGTTCATCCTATGTTATGTTACAGTTTGACATCAATTGAAGAAATACATTGTCAAGTAGTAACAAAAAAAATGCATATAGATTTACATTATTTATGTTGTCATTTTTAAAAATTAAATTTAATAAACCTAATTCAATTTTATGAATAGTAATAAACACTTATTCTTTTTTGTATGGAAGTAATTCTGATGAAAATATGTATGATCCATAATGTAGTTGTCTGTTTGTTTTTTCTTTTGGTTGTTGTTGTTGCTGTTGTCGTAAATGATAAATTGTTCGTATAATTTATTGATAATTATATTGTTCATTCTATTCTTTTTCCTGTATAACAATGAGTTTTTAATCATTACCATTTTATTCAATTATGATTTATTAATATTTCAAATAGCTATGGTTATATTTTCTTTGAAAAAGCTTGAACTAGATTGCCAGGTGAAAAGTTGCATTTACTTCAATTACTTTCGCTGAGATTTTTACAAATACTTGTTTCCTCTTTCATAATTATGGTTTTGTTTATTCTATTGTTAATCTAATAAAGTATGTAAACTAACCTTTTTCAGATATGATTTAATTGTGAAAGGAAAGAATACATTTATAATTTGAAAATTAATGCTCTATTTCACTTTTACAAAGTGGTGATGGAAAAATATACCTGTTATCATATGAAATTAGGATAAAATACACTGAAATGTTTTAAACCTATAAGTTTATCACTTAGTAATAATATAATATGATTAAATCAAGGGGAACAATATCAGTCTTATATATCCTTTACAAACACTTATAAGCAAGAGCAGTATATTTACAATTGAAGAACATCTGGAACTCAAAACAAGTGTCAACCCAAACCAAGGTCAGAATTTTCGATACCAATATCAAAACAGTTTTACTGTATGGAACGAAAACTTGGAGAACTACGAAAGCTATCATTCAGAAGATACAAGTGTTTATTAACAGTTGTCTACACAAAATACTTCGGATACGTTGGCCAACACCATCAGCAATAACCTACTATGTGAGAGAACAAGTCATATCTCAGCGGAGGAAGAAATCAGGAAGAAGCGGTGGAAAAGGATAGGACACACATTGAGGAAAGCACCTAACTGTATTACAAGGCCAGCTCTCACATGGAATTCTGAAAGCATAAGGAAGAGAGGAAGATCAAAGAACAAATTACGCCGAGATATGTAGATAGACATAAGAAGAATGAACAACAATTGGATCAAACTAGAAAGGAAAGCTCAGGACAGAGTGGGTTGGAGAATGCTGGTCGGCGGCCTTTGCTCCGTTGGGAGTAGCAGGCGTAAGTAAGTAAGTAAGACACTTATAAGTTGGAGAATGTTATTCTATCTGACAAGATCAACTATTCTTAGTTCTGTGTTTAGAGTGAACTCAATTTCTTCAAAGATGTTATATCACTCAATCTTATGATATGAATTTAATGAAATACCAGTGTTATTAGCTATCTATATCTCCTAATTAATTAATAGTATGCTATATATCAATGTTTATGATTATAATTCGACAACATTCTAAAAAAAAGCCATCATTAAAAAGTGGTCATTATTAAAAGTAAGAACAGAAAACAAAAAAAATCAGCAGATTAAAATGTATTTGAGCGTAAATTTAAAAAAGAAGAAAAGAAAAGGAAACCATTATGTACAAGATAAAAATATTCATAGGAGTAGTTCTCAGTAATATGTTGCTTATGTATAATATTACAATGAAATCAAAATAATAGTATTCTCACAATTTTTCCCCAATAAATGAAGTTGAAAATGAGGAGTAAACAGGAAAGTTTAGATTTATCGATGACAAAATCGTTACAATCAAATGTTCTTAAATTATCAAAGATAGAATAAGTTGAGTATAATATTCACTATATAGAAATTTCTAATCATTTTCTAATTTTGAATTTATAGTACAAAGTTTTATATTATTATCTTTGTTCTTAGTAATACCTAATGGAAAATTATTTTCTTCTTGTGAGCTTTCATTTATATACACTTCACCACAATCAATATTTGTGTGATTGATAGAAATTGGATTATATTTAATTGTTGAACTGCCAAAAACTGTATTATCATACGGACTTAACCTTTCTGTAAGATTGTAATTTTGATTAAATGCAGACATCTTCATTTCAGGTAGTTCTTCATGGTGTCGATTGGGTATGAATGATACATTAGTATCATTAATCTAAATGAATACATAAAATAGTGAAATAGAAAATATGAAATTAGTATACATATATAAAGGTATCATTAAAATTTGAGAAAAAACAAGAGCATGGTTTGTCACTTTAGGCAATGAAGCGATTATCAGAAATTAGCTGTTCTCGATCGCTTTGACAATACAACAAATTTACCATAATACTTACTTACGCCTGTTACTCTTCGTGGAGAAGAACCGGCACTCTTCATCTAACATCTTCCTGGGTAATCCTTTCCATTTCTTATCTTTTACTATTCATTCTTTTCGTAGATGACTCCGATTCTTCATTTCCGTTTCCCTTCAGGATTCAAAGTTAAGGCTCTCCTTGTGATTCAGTTTAGTGATTTTTACAACAGATAGCTATTTATGATTAAGATCAATTACAATGAAGTTGAACAAACAGTCTTACACTAAACCATGAAATATTTGGAAAATTACATTTGGGATTTAATGGAAGAAAACAATTGATTTTGTTGTCTATTTCAAGTCGTACAAAACAAAGAAGTGAAATTGTGCTAAATTAATATGTGTTTCTATGATAAACAGTATTGTATACATAAACGAAAGTCAATTTGAAAAATTTACTTTTAACATCAGAATATCGACTTCTAGTAATAAACTGGATATGTGTTAAACAATATGAATAATTGAACTAATTTAATCTCGAAAATTCCTATATTATGACTTAGAACAACATAATATAAGCGAACAATATTGTTTTTGATTAGATCCTTATCACGCTTTACTTTAATATGCAGTAATTTTTATATGCATATACGAAAATATTAAACCGATCAAGGTAGTTTATGAGTCTATGATAACAGTGGAATAGACTACATAAATAAACATGATAAATGTAAAGTAAGAATTCGTAACGAGATTACGAATGTACTAGTTGTGATAAGAATAATAAACGCTCGAATCAATTTTACATAATGGGAAATAGGTCAATGATTAGGAAAAATATAGACATTGAAGTGACATTCATAAAAATTATAAGATTACGTAGTAATAAGTGTTCAGATAATTGGACCGTGAAACGTATATTTGAGAAAAGGGTGGGAGGGGGTGAAGAAAAATAAAGGAAGAAAGAGTATGGAAAATAGTAATAATAAATAAAATCATTTATTAAGGCCAATTGAGAGATAAAAGTGTTACAAATTTCTTATAAACACAAAGACTTGGATGGTTGACTTGAATTCCTATAGCTTCTGCTATGTGTAAGACACGAGATTGAACCCCATAAGGAAAACTAATGGGAATACAATAGGTAACTTAAAATGACCTATTTCTGTTTACTACATGACCGCTATCGATCAGGTGTGATAGAACCGAGCTGCATATTGTCTTGACAGTATTTTTTCCTAACCACGAAGAGAGGTATTCACTAACCTGTTGGCTCAGTTGTCTGATAGTGATTTCAATATAGCTTTCTTCTCAGGAACAGCTTAATTCATAGATACATATGGATGTGACAAAACCAGATAACTCATCCTTTAGTTGACGAATCATCATAAACCAGGTTGAGTACGATTGATAGGGGCTGGCTGCATTAGATGTTCTCCTAACTGCTTTAGTCAGTCTATCCAGTAGCACATCATCAGCTACATATCTATTGAATTGCAGCTTCAGGGAGAGAGGTTTCTTACTAGAAGTCGTATTCGCTAATTTTTTTGGTGCATGCAAGTGTTTCTTCAGGAAACCTTGTGCATAACCCATTTCAATCAACACATTATGTATAAGCTCTAATTCCTTGTGCGTCGTATAGACTGAGCATATCTTTCTAACTCAATCGTACAATTTCATCTAATTATCTCATTATTATTTTAGTGAATTTAGGTACCTGATGTCTGAATAATATCAATTTTGGTCGTTCACAGTATACATAACTTGTATGTTATTGTAGAGTGTGGTGTTAACGATTCTTTTTCTAAATTTATGTTCAGTCATAATATTTTACTTTTTAAAATACCAGAATTCGTTATACAGAATTCAAGAAGGATGCCAGGATATAAAGATTGAGGACGTCTAGGACGAAAAACGTTGATATTTGACCTATAAATTACTCATTTTTTGAAATTCTAAGAAACCTTTAATTCCTCCCCCCTTCAAAAAAAGAATTTTGAATTAACTTCATAAATTATAAAGCTATTGCATTTCACTGTTCTCCCCGTTATCCCTTACATGCTATTGAAATGAAAAAAATAGAACAATTTACGAACATTTTTGTCCCAGATAACATGATATGAAACTCTTTTTATTTGAACAAAATTTCGGTACTTTCCAGTTGAATATCATACTAATTTGTGTTACTATCCCCCTTGCTAAAAAGATATTTTAAAAAATTTACTTAGTTTAAGTTCGTTATTTCTGTGAAAGGGAATTCAGTGATAATTTACGTTTCAAGAACGTAACAACAGAAAATGTTGGATAAATTACTAAAATAAAGGTGATATCACCAGGAATTTTATGTTATTTTTTTCGTTTAGTCATGCCATATTTATAAAATCACAGTCGTTACATGTTTTAAAGTTTGAGTTAAGCAATCCTTCAACTGGAAGTTTTGTTTATTTCTTTATCCAACGTATCATAATACTAGAATGCTTGCATCACATCTATTACTCAGACACATTTGTTGTCTGTCTTCGCTTTATTCCTATACTACATTACACAATATTGTCATTACCGATAATTGACACCAAAAAGATTGTTACACAGCATGATCAATAAATGAAGAAGCCGGATGATACTGTTTCGCAGTTTCATCAATAATATATTTTTAGTCATTCTGAATCAATAATCATCATATGGTTGCATCTCAAATAAGATTAGTCACTAGATCAGTAGTGATCATTCAACGTCACTTTGTATGTATCATAGATATTTACTGAATTATTACATATTGTCAAAGTAACTAATTAATTTCTAATAACATTTGCATTACAGTGGCACCATTAAAAACTAGAGTTATTTTATTATGCTACTAGCTAATCAGTACCCGTCAGGATGTAATTATTTACATTTAGAGCTCGTAGACAAAATAATTTGCATCCGCTTTGTAACTAACTTTAAGTATAATGAAAGTAAAACAAACGGTTAGCAATCCTGACACCTAGTTGTTGGCTTAGATAACAATAAAATACGAACTAACACATGAGCATGAATATTCAGCATAGAACTTGAATGTAGTGATTCAACTATCATATGTATATCACAGTATGAAAATTTAAAGTTTGCTGGAAAATCATATATATTTTTCTAAAGATGCCCAGCTTTTATAAGTAAATATTATTTTGTAAGATCATTTTGACAGTCATACACACTTCTTACTGTGATATTTTGGTCAAATCTGACAAGTAAACAAATACAGATGTAGAAATACATAATCTGGGTTTTTTCTAGCATGCATCACTTTTTGCATGTTCTTGATATACATTGTAAAAAAAGAAGTCTTGTTTGCTATCCCATAAATGTTACATATAATTCTGACATAAGTAGTATTGATATGATTATTTAGAAATTTATTCCTAAGATGTTAATAATAATAATCAATCATCTTTGACAGTCAATAATTAAAATCAATAAACCCCATAGGAAAATGAATAATGACGAGTAAGATCAATTCTCTGTAAAGTATGCATAATCAATAAACAGTCAGTAAATAAGTAAAAAACAATTTTCTAAGATTCCATCTGTTATTTCATTCATTATATTGTATTCGGTTAAGTAAGTTTTAGACAAGCATGAATTGGTTTAAAGATAAGGAAGTTGTCCCTTATCACTTGTCATTGACAGTAGTGTTACATCATGTCTGTTTTTGCATTTATTATTATTATTAAGTTTGGCATTTTACTGAAGTGAAACCTAATCTACTAGCTACTGTTCTTGTCTTTTGACATCATCTATCAATCAACACTCTGTTGTTTGTTTTGAGAATGAGAATATGCTTGTCATAAATCATTCTGTAAAAATTTCAGAAAAAAAAACAGTTTGTGGTTTGAATTTCAATCAACTGTAAAACATCATATGATTAAATGACTGGCATTTAATAAAAAGGTTCTCAGACTTTTCATTTTCTTTAAAAAAATTATTTAATCAGTGTATGCATTACTACAAAGCAGAATGAGCACGAGATGTTCAGTGTCAATCAACTTGTGTTAATAATGAAGCCGTCAGTATTGATTCTTCTAAATGATCGTCAACCTATACAAGTATCTGATCGAATTTGAAACGTTAAGATCTGGTGGCGATAAATAAAGGTCGAAGATTTGGTCCCTAGCTTATTTTTCGGTATGCACCACTGAGAAGTCCCTCGGTGAAATGATTTGAGCGGTCTCTTATATGAGGTTGATGTATGTTGAATATTAGGCCGCTACTATTAATAAAACAGTTTAATTATTAATTAGTTACGTATTTGGGTGCATTTCAAGTGTTATTACTTGTTTTGCAAACTACTTGTAAAAAATTTTCCTCTGCATTAAATGGAAGGTGAAGTGTATTATCAATCAATTTGTTAGTCATGCCTATAAGTCACTCTTATAAGTGCAGTCCGATTGTTACTCTTGATAAACCCATGGTAAAAATGGAAGAAAGACATATATTGTAAAGTGATTCACAAACGATAGATAATATATATGAATTAATGCTGTCTGATGAATCTGCTAGATTCTATGAATGATAAAATGTAGTTTTTGATATCCTTATATACTTATAATTATAGGAAAGTATGTGACTGATATCAAATTTCGAAGTATAAGTTCTGTAAATAGTATTTAATTAGTAGAAAATTCATTATATAACATAGGTGTTGAAAAGGTACACACACTAATGAAGTAATTCATTAGTGTCGGTTGTGAAACATATATCCATCACAAGAAATGGATGAAACGTTGGGTAAAATCATGCAGTAATTAAAATTAGACGTTAACATTGCTGGATACTGGCTCAGTGGTCTAGAGATTATCGTTCGATACCGAAGGTCCTTG